GAACTGCAGGACGACATCTCTCGTGGCTGTGGCTGGGGCCCCAGTGGGCTTTGGGATGCGAAAAATTCCGTCTATTGACACCGCTTTGGCAACCCTCTGGGTTAGTAGAGCCGCAAGGAGCCGCCTAATAACGTGGGGTAGTTCAGCATCAGGAATATTGTCGGTGATGCCCCTGACCTTAAGGTGCTTTAGGCGGCGTTTGTTTTCAAGTGCGGCAAATCGGAGGTCGTTCTGCCCAGCTAGCTGTTTCAACTCCTGAACCTCCTGTTGCAGCGCTTGTATTTGGCCGGTTTGGGTGGTCATGGTGGTTTCCACGGTCCCGATCCGTCCGGTGAGACTCTGTAATGTGTCTCTAATCGAGGCGACATCTGCCGCAATCTTTTTGTGATGTTCCGCCATAAGGTCTCTAATGGCTTCCATGCTCACCGGCGTGGGGGCCATAGTAGTCGGCAGGGGTTGCATTGGGGGTTGCGTTCGAGCTGGTGATGGCTGAAGCTCCCCTTCACCCTCATCCGATGTCTCTTCATAGAAGTCAGAGCACCCGCCGTGTAGGGACGCCATATTGGAGCCTGTGGCGCCTCGTGCTTGCCGCCATAACTCGCCGATATCCATGCCCCTCGTGGGTCTTTCGGGTTTGAGCTTTTTGGTTTTTCGTCCCATTGGACTCTGCTGCGCGCTGGGCTCACTCAGGGGTGAGTGTGGCACTTGTAAGAGGGTTAAAAGTGGGTTCTTTTCCGTGTCGCGGCCCGGAGCTCAGAGGGCATGCGACCGTTCTCTTCAATCGCTAAGCACCGCCCCCCCCCATTATTTTTTGCCTAGATTAGGTGTTTTTAATAAAGCTAACAAAATTGTTCAGAACCAAAATAGCTGTTTAGCAGATAAGTGAGTGCACTGGATCTTCATTTTTATTGTACTTATTGCCTCCCAGCAGCACCCAATTTAAGTATGTTCAGGTGAGTGCAGCCAAACCTTTGTTTTCTTTGAATGGGTCTCTGGGGTGGTCTTGGTTTGAGAGCCAAACAAAATAAACGGAGCAAAATTAAATATGAAGTCGAAAGTGATGGGGCATTCTTTCACATCTACCGAGCACCGGCCAGCCCCCTGGCTCATTAAGTTCAAAGAAACCATAGAATTAAGTGCTCTCCCTGTGTGGCCACCGTTCATATAACCAAACAACACATGGAGAAAACGACGGCCATCTTGTCGCACAAAAGCAGGCAGCGGGACTTGGTTGTTGATTGTCTGGAACTCTAATAAGTAGGACACTCGACCGCGCAAACACTAGTCAAACTTCATGAGTGCCTGCTTCGTTCCATTGCAAGCCACGAGTCCTGTTCGGTAGGTTTGCTCGCACGAACAAGGCGCCCAAACACTACCTATGAGTCACGGGAATTCAAAACAAAGACACGAATGCTACCACTGAAACTCTGGAACTGATTTGGGCAGACGCCTCGTGAGCGGTCAGTCAAAACTTTACACTGGTGGCGATTCAGCTGTATTTGTGGGATCTATGCTATCCGCATTTATAAGACATAGAGGAACCCCCACAAATATTATACGTCTTTTTAATACTTTGTTTTTATGCACAGTCATTCTGACTAAAAAATTAATGGGCATGTTTTACTGTATCCCTGATGTGTATAAAAGCAGGCCATCTGGCCAGAATAAAATATTCCTGTTGTACCCGTCATCAAGTCTCGACTGATATTTGGGTATGTGACTGACGAATTGCTGTATTTTCTCTTATGCAACTCCAGGCAAACGGGCTATAATAACTGAGTCCCTAGCCTTTCGGGAGCATACGAACAAATGGGTATACGAAATACCAAGCGTTCTTTACAGTGGCTAATAACTGTATATAAGGACGTTACGTCCAACATATCCCAGCTGTATTTCTCAATCCATTCAATGTTTTTTGTCTCCAATACAATAGATTTAGTATCTTTCACATAGGATGGAGCTCTTGTTTATCTATATATACATATAGTGATTTATGTGGTATCCTTCTGGGAAGGTTATCCAGGAAAGCTGTTACATTATTAAGTTGTTCTATTTATTTTCACATGTTTTTGGTTGTTTCACATTTCACTTTGTGTGGTGTTTAGTGTTTTTTTCCATAGCCAAATCCACCTAGTTGGCAGCAAGCATCAGCAGGACAGGAGAGCACACAAAACAATTAACAATACACAAATACATATTCACATCCTGCACCTATAATGGGCACAGGCTGACTTTAGACATAGGAGTAGTTCAAGAAGGGGCGCTGGGCCAGGAGACATGGGATGGAGGTCTAGTCCATAGTAAATATAGTCTCTTTGGAGAAGGTGGAAGGTTGGGAAACATGTATCCAGCTAAGGTGACCGGAGGGTGCACACAACCACAAAATTGTTGAGATGTCACAGATTGATGACGGGACGATTGTAGCAGACTCATTCCCTTTTGTTCGGTTGTCCATACCCCCTTGTTCGTCTCCCGAATGGATGGTATATGGTCCCCCCTATTATACCTCTCCAAACACCAACCTCTCCTGGCTGTTAACCAAATATTAAGCAATTCACTAAAGAGCTTTCCCTGGGTGGCTCAATTCCTATAATCGAACGCACGTGGTCCAGTGCATGGTGGCAATTTTGTCCCCCGAACACAGGCAGCGGTACGTGGTCGTCGAACACCTGGAATAACTTTTGGCCCACAGCCTCGCTGACCCGGGCAAATATGGTACTGCTGCCCGTCCAACTAGATAAATGATGTTCGGGAGATAGGAACTACCGACTGGGGGAGGGAGCATTCGCTCCCTAAAAGCCAGAGGAAGCATTTGTTGGTGTTCGTACAGAAACCCCCGAATGGAGCCCGGCCATTGCCCTCAATTCCCTGGAACTGTTTTGGGCTAACGCCTCATGGCCGGCCGGTCAGATCTTCACCCGAATGGCAATTCCGTTCTATTGAACGGATCTATGTGCTATTTGGATATGTTGTGCACTCAGATCCAAACTATTCGGGAATGTAAAACTTGTGGGGTTCCTGTAAATTCTGAATGTTTTTGGGGTGGTTTTGTATGTTTTCTGTATTTTACTGTAACTGTGAGATAATTGCGTTACTCAATGTAACGGATCCCCTATACTCCGACTGATTATATCCGCTGAAGAGTCTCCCTAATACCGCAGAGTGAAAGTATGATATAGCTTTAGTATTCACAAGCATCAGCCAAAACTCGATGAAGGGTAAATCAGTTTGATTTATTCAGGCAACAGGTACATGTATTTATACAAGTACTCCCAGCATGGGGTCTCTATTCATTCAGTCCTAAGCCCACCCAGGCGTCTCCGTGTCTGGGAGATAATTGACTTGATAACCGGTAAACTAATTATCTCCCGGACACAGAAGATGCTACATACAAAAACCCCGAAAACAACATGGTATAATCACAAGTGATACATCCCCTAAAGGAAGGGATCTGAGCGCCCATTCTGTGAAAATAACACATGGATCTGTGGGGAATTGTCAAAACGCCACTCGGTTAACTTTTGACCAACCGCTGTTAAAGTTCTTCCCAAAAATAGTTCCAAGCGGTGGGGGCTATGTAGCGGTATTTTACCGAGGGCTCTAGCGGGCTGAAAAAGAAAGGCTCCCTTCATCTCACAGGGTGTGATTGTTCACGAGGAGGGGGTAACATAACCTCCAAAGTGCGCCTTACTAGCTCTTTGAGAAAGGGGTTAAAACGAGGGGGAAACATGTGAGGTACTTGTCCGTAGTCAAGCTACGAAAGATTGTCCGTATCTCCCGCTGGTCGAGTAAGACGCTCTGGCTGGCTTAACAGGCTGAGATGAGTTAAAACAAAGGGTTTGCTGGGATGGCAGTTTGTGGAAGAAGATGTAACCGGGAGGGAGGGAGAGAGAAGCTATTCTTTTGGCAACAGTTTATGACAAGTTTGTTACACTCAGTTTTGACTCAATTATCTCTCAGACAATAGGTGGCCAGGGAAGAGCTTGTTTATATTTTGTATGGCGATGTTGATACACTATGTCAAAGGGTTCCACGGGAAAAAATAATTGGGAACCCCTGCCTTAGATACACTGATAAAATAATCTTTATTAATTCCCGTCAAATCTTTTACAAGGATTATTTACTTCATAAAGCTAGTTAGACACAAAATAAATGAATCCAGTTGATCAGAAGAGTTACATTTTAACAGATGGTGGAAAGAGTTTAAAAAACGTATGTAAAAACTTTCACAATGTGTGTAGAAGACCTTAGATGTCAGTATTGATTATTTTACATAAAGATCCTATTCTAATAGTACTGCAGTAAGTGAATTTAAACATATATCCACACATGAATTGAAACTATGTATTATGTAAAATACATCTCTATCGTTCTAGCACTTTTAGCATTAGCTATCTCCACACACTTTGAATACTTGTTAAATATATTTGGAGGCACCAGGGAGACAATGGGAAAAGACACCTAGTTATTTTATTTTCCCCATAATGGTCACATTGTCCTAGAAGATTACTTATATAACAGTTTTGTTCACATGGATTTCTCTGCAGTTTTTGAAGCAATACATTTCACGAAGGGATCAGTTTCTGTGAAAATGTGCAGCTAAATTGACGATAAGAAACACACAGTGTTACTGACTAAATTGAATATACTCAGGGAATTCAAGGTGAATTTAACTCATAGGCCTAAACAGCAGAACCTTAAGCATTACTGACTTAGGCATTTTGTTTCAAGTTGTCTATTTTATTTGATCTTACATTTGAAATTCACTTAAAATTCTATTTTTTTGCAAATAACCCTGAAACTAAGAAATGTGAGTGCCCTGTGAAAGTTTAGAGATGAAGCAAGCTTGCAAAACCACCAACCAATCAGAAGAGATTAGTCACCGTTGGTAAGCCAATCACATTGCAGCAGATTGTCTATATAAGGCGCTTCGCAGAACCAGCTCTCAAAATCCGTTTTTCTACAGAACGTGTCGGTTGTTTTGTGTTTCTTTGTGGACAATGGCCGAAACCGCTCCTGCTCCTCCAGCTGAAAGCGCTGCTAAGAAGAAACAGCCAAAGAAGGCGACAGCTTTGAAAAGCCGCTCGGTGAAGTCTGGTCCCAGCGTGTCCGAGCTCATCGTGAAGGCGGTGTCCGCGTCGAAAGAGCGCAGCGGTGTGTCACTTGCCGCGCTGAAGAAAGCCTTAGCCGCAACAGGCTACGATGTGGAGAAGAACAACAGTCGCCTCAAACTCGCTGTCAAGAGCTTGGTCACCAAAGAGACTCTCACCCAGGTGAAAGGGAGCGGGGCCTCTGGCTCTTTTAAGCTGAACAAGAAACAGGTGGAGAGCAACGAAAAAGCAGCCAAAAAGGAAGCCAAGCCTAAAAAAGCAGCTCCTAAAAAAGCCACAAAATCACCCAAGAAGTCCAAAAAGGCTCCAGCCGGGGTGAAGAAGAGCCCTAAGAAAGCCAAGAAGCCGGCAGCTGTTGCCAAAAAGGCTGCAAAGAGTCCTAAAAAGCCTAAAGCTGTAAAGCCCAAGAGAGCCGCTAAGAGTCCGGCTACCAAGGCTGCAAAACCCAAACCCGCGAAAAGCGCTGCTAAGGCTAAAGTCAAGGTGTCAAAAAGCAAGAAAACCGCAGCCAAAAAGTAGAACTCCTGACCGTGAACAACCTAAATCTCAACGGCTCTTTTAAGAGCCACCACGATCTCACCCTTCAGAGCCACTCACTACTTTCCTTCCGATCCTCACACTAATATTACCACTTAGAGAGGAGAGGGTTTTTGGGTGATCTATATTTTCAGTGTTTAGAAATATGGAAAACAAAATATACAACGTAGATAGTACAATTGAACAGAACAAAAGTAATACAGAAGAGCGCACACCAAAATACAGCATGAAATCTTACAATACTACTTACTTAGACCTGTTTTGGCAATACGGGAATTTAGTTACACAGTATGGCATATTGGGTTATTTTGAAGCAGGAGAGGCCTCCCACATGGCCATATGGTGTAACTAAATCCCACCTAGGAGAAATCTGAATGCCTTTTGAGTTGGTATTTTTTTGTTGCATGATTGGAAGTCACTTGCGATTGGAATTTGTTTCTACTGGTAATGCAAAAGTGGGCGACAGAAGCATGCTCATTCACTAAACATGCATTATACAATTGAGGCAAAAAAAAATAAAAAATCTCAAGTATGAAATTGAATCAAACGACGTGTGAAAATCGGGATGGATTGGAATATTTATTTCCTTCCATCTTATACTGATATGCAGCGCTTTACTATTGTTCACAATAGTTAACTATTAATCCGCTTCTGATCGATATCTTGTGTTTAACCAAAGACTCCCCCAGTTTCTAACAAGTAGTAATAGCAATGGTTAGAAAGGGAAAGTCCGCTAGGGGTGTTTTAATAGAAATTTCTAATGTATCAGTTAATTCGTTAGCCGAATTACAGATATAGATTGTAAAGAGGTATATAACATCCTTAAGTAGTAAATTCCCTTTGACGCGTCACTGCAGTGAATAACCGTATAAGAATGTTGCAAGACAGTGATCACCTCCATTCATAGTCATATCAGTGTGAGCTCTTTCTGTGGATTGTGGGTGGCTCTTAAAAGAGCCTTTGTGTAAGTTTGGGAGCTGAGAGACAGTGGAGTTACTTGCTCTTGGCTGGCTTGTGGCTCTCGGTTTTCTTGGGCAGTAAAACAGCCTGGATATTGGGCAATACCCCACCCTGGGCTATGGTGACCCCTCCGAGCAGTTTGTTGAGCTCCTCGTCGTTGCGCACAGCGAGCTGCAGATGGCGGGGGATGATGCGGGTCTTCTTGTTGTCTCGGGCTGCATTCCCAGCCAGCTCCAGGATCTCGGCGGTCAGATACTCCAGCACTGCAGCCAGATAGACCGGAGCTCCGGCTCCAACCCGCTCGGCATAATTGCCCTTTCTGAGCAGCCTGTGGACACGGCCGACTGGGAACTGCAGACCTGCTCTGGATGATCGGGTCTTGGCTTTAGCCCGGACTTTGCCGCCCTGTTTGCCTCTTCCTGACATTTTCAAAACGAAATCGGTAACGAATTACTGTGTAGAAATTGGCGCCCCCTGCACGGCTATTTATACCATCTCAGATACAGCGAGCTCTAATCTGATTGGTGGCTTTAAAATGCAACCAATCAGCTTCCGACTCAGAAAGTAACCAATCGCAGTAGGTTACCGCGTTCCATGCTCAGTGCTCTTACTGAACGAACCAATAGAAAATGCACACAGGTCAGGCTTTACTGCCAGGGCTTCTATATATAGAGCAGCTGGGGAAAGCGTTCCTTAGTTTGTTGGAAATTTCGTGAGATTTCTCTGATCATCATGCCTGAACCAGCCAAGTCCGCTCCCGCACCCAAGAAGGGCTCTAAAAAAGCCGTGACCAAGACCCAGAAGAAGGATGGGAAAAAGCGCAGAAAGAGCAGGAAGGAGAGCTATGCCATCTACGTGTACAAAGTGCTGAAACAGGTCCACCCCGACACCGGTATCTCCTCCAAGGCCATGGGGATCATGAACTCCTTTGTCAATGATATCTTCGAGCGCATCGCAGGGGAAGCCTCCCGTCTGGCTCACTATAACAAGCGCTCCACCATCACCTCCCGGGAGATCCAGACTGCTGTACGGCTCTTACTACCCGGAGAGCTGGCCAAACACGCCGTGTCTGAGGGCACCAAGGCAGTGACCAAGTACACCAGCGCCAAGTAAAACCCCCATCACCCAAACTCTAATAACACAAAGGCTCTTCTAAGAGCCACCCACACAATCCACGAGAGAGCTGTGAATATATAACGAGAGCGTTTTCTATGTGCGAAATATAAAAAGTAATCTATTGTCGCGTTACACTATTTCAATTTTGAAATCGTCAAGCTAAAAAAAACTAACACTCCCAAGGGCAGAACCTATGATGTAACACTTATTGTGCTGGTTATAAAGTATCCTGAAAGATACAACAGCCTGAAACTATAATGTATCAATCTAGCTTACAAATGAAACGTGTTTCCATTCACACTCCTCTCTTTCGACTCTTTACACAAATGATACAATGCTGCCATCTCGTGTATACAGATTGCAATGGTTACTTTTTGATTAATACATATGGATCAAATCAGCAATATCAATCTCAATGAATACTTTATAAATTAAAATTAGGAGTTTAGTGGGGTTTTTCCTTTCAATGTATTTACTATCAAATGTACACATTCAGAATTCTCTTCTTGGCGTTTTTAAAGCGGGAAAGTCCGTTACAAAATGGCCAAGTTTAAATCCTGCACGATATAGTCCCCCTGCTGGCTCTGTCACGGCAGCTTTTTGTTCTTCCACTTTCCTCTCCCGCCATTTTCGGGCCACATACTGATTGCAGTTTCATTGAAATTTGTGATGATAAAATGCAAATAATTTAACCCTTTCATACTCAGATGGAAACGATTGCCATATAAATTTGTATGGACTGTGATGCTTAGAGAATTAGGATTCCTTAAACTATAATTATCACAGTATAGAATGTCTAGTTTTAGGTCTGTTTTGAGGTGTATAAATTCAGTATGCAGCATGTTTTCCATATAAAATGCGGGAATGGCTGCTTCGATCACAGCAGCTTTTCTCTCCGGCCGTTTTAGATCACATACTGACTGCAGTTTAGTGCAGAAAGGATTCTAATCTCACTAACAAGGAAGACTTTAACCATCTCAGCCTCCAATGCCCTTATTTCATGTTTTATGAGAGCATTGCATTCAAACCGAAAACGAAGCAGGATATTAGGGGGAAACATAACGCCACATTATATTGATAGGAAACACATTGGAGTTTGTGTTAACGGAAGGCTACTCTGTAATTTCTCGTTCTCCAATATGTTGTAGGGAGCATTGAGACAGCCGAGCCATCCTGGTGGAATTATAGCCTTATGAGGGAAGGAGTGGGCGGCTCTGAAAAGAGCCTTTGGTTTGAATGAAGTATCGAACATCAGCTGAAACGTTTAACCTCCGAAACCGTAGAGAGTGCGGCCCTGGCGTTTCAGCGCGTACACCACGTCCATGGCGGTGACCGTCTTCCTCTTGGCGTGCTCGGTGTAGGTGACGGCATCGCGGATAACGTTCTCCAGGAAGACTTTCAGCACTCCTCGAGTCTCCTCGTAAATAAGGCCGGAGATTCGCTTGACACCTCCTCTGCGAGCCAAACGGCGGATAGCCGGTTTAGTGATCCCCTGGATGTTATCACGGAGCACCTTCCTGTGCCGTTTGGCACCACCTTTACCGAGCCCTTTCCCTCCTTTACCGCGACCAGACATACTGAGATGGGACAAGTGGAACAATGAGTGCTCACAACACGGCCACCTTCTCTTATATGTCTGTTGAGCCGACCGAGTGGGGAACTGATAGACAAATCAAACCGTCACTGGGCGGGTCTTGTGGTTGATTGGCTGATGCAGGAGGTTGTGATTTGCTGAATAGTCATTTTTGAACTAGAGAAAAAAACCGCCAGCGGGAAAGGTTTCCACCGTATTCGAATTTGCAGCTCCGGCAAGTATTCAGTGCAGACTGCATTTACTGATAAAATGTTTAATTGTTCTTCCCTTTGCTTCATACATAATAGACAAATCCTGTAATAGCACGGAATGCAGGTAAAGAGATTATAACTAAATATGTCTCGATAAATTAC